TGTATCTAGCGCTGAAGGCAAAGAGTGACTTTTACACAGAGAGTAGGAAGTCAAAGACCTGGTGGAGCTGCAAGGGCTGATTTGAGGACTCAGGGGGCTTAGCACCCTAGACATGGGGTCTATACTATCCGACGCTTGTCCTCTTGGAGAATGAAGACCTGTTTTGTAGTGCTCAGTCTTTATTCCATCATGTCTGTGCTGGCCATGGGTTGGCCTGGATGGTAGATTAGAAAACAAAACAAATAAAAAATTGTAGCAACTTTTCTCTCTCCAACAGAAATGTAGGAAATTTGCTTAAGCCAACAGCCTAATTAATAAGGCTAGAATTTACAAAATGAGCAACCTACTGAGATCAGGTGTTCTTTCATTCATTCAGGCCCCAAATATCCAATCCCCACTACCAGGTCCCTGCCCTCACACACTTATGGTATAGCAAGAAAGACAAACAAGCTGCCAGGTAATCTAGTGTGGTTAGTGCTGGGACAGGAGAAGTGCTGTGCACCTAAGAAGGCACCTAACCTCACTAGAGGGTTGGGCTGGTGTAGGAGTAGAGGTGAGCGTGTCAGCGAAGGCTTTGGGTAGGAAAACATGTAAGCCATATAGTATGAGCTGAAGCCAGGTGGCTTTTCACTGAATGCTTATTTCTTATGGTAACAGCCTATAACAAACTGACTAAAAACACAAAGGAAGCTGTTTATAAAAAGCCATATTCTACTTCTTATGGGCAAATGGGGTTGAAGAGGTGGAAGGCAGCATGAAAAGTCTCAGGTAATACACATGTTGTTTACACTGACATCCAGAGTGTACAAAACAAAAGCTTTAATGAAAATGCTATACACCTCCCCCACCCATTTTTTAACATGATCATGGCTTTACTTGTGTACACTATACTTCAGAATTAAACATGGAGTCCTTTGATGAAGATTTAATTTCTGTAAGTCAGAAATTATTCTCAAAGAAATGAGAATTATATTGTACCAATACACATTTTAAATAAACTTTTAAGAAATTTTACTTGAACTCTGTATTCTTGAACTCAGTTGTTCTGCTGTGTGTTGGTTTAAAGATCCTGTCATTTTGTTTTTTGCACATCTGAGTAGAAATCTCCAGCTGAGATTTGGTATTCATCAAATCTTTCTGTAGTTGTTGATTTTCAGACACTAATTTATTTAATGCCTCAATATAATTCTCCTGGAGATCTGCTAGTGAAATCTCTTTTGCCTAATAAAAAAGAATACTAGAGTCATTTAATCTGTACAAGAATACTTGTGATCTGTGATAATGCTGGTTGGAAATTTCAGTATTTTTTAGTTGTAAGTAGTTAATCTATGGCTTTAATTTAGAAAAAGTGAAGATTTGTTTTTAGGCCTCTAAGACTAACAGAGATAAAGAATTCTTCAAGTAAATGCTGGTGGAACGCTAGAACCACAATGGGCTTCCTTGTGTGGCAAGGAATTCCAAGGAGGTGGAGGAAGGATGGAACCAGGATGGAGGAAAGTTGTAAGAGTGAATCAGAAACAGGGAAAAAGAAGGAAAATAGCGGCCATGTTTCTTCTGCAAGAAGGTGAAGGTTGAATAGCCCCAGAATACCAGTGGAAGAAAACAGAGACCTAGTTCAAGGAAAGAAATTTGAACAAAAAGTTCTGAGAAAAAAATCTGGCTGGCAGGGAAACTTTAAAATAAATACTCTCTAATATTAAACACTTTTCTACAACTTTGATATCTACTCATATATAAATTTGGACATGATAAGGCAGGATTCAAGTACATAGTGGGAATTACTATTGTGATCTGGTATCATATATTTGATTGCTTTTCAATTTGAGGTGTTTCCTGGTAAGACACTACTTGAAAAAATGGTAGTCTGGGTGATTTTTTTTCTGATGACAAAATATTTTAATTAGTATTATGCAAAGTCATGGTAATCCTTGGAGTTTAATACCATGGTTAGCCTGGTCTTTTCTGCAAAAAAAAAAAAAAAAATTCTGAAAGTAAGCTCGTCAAGAGTGGTCTAACAAATATAATTTTCCTAACAAAAACATAAACTTTAAAATATATCTGTGAACTATCTGTGTACAAGTAGTGACTAAGAGCTACAAAATCTTTCAACAAGTTGTAAATGCCAGATAAAATACCAGAGAAGAACATCTGCAGGACATATGAGTTAAAATGAAACTATTATCAGTTTTTAAAACATGGTAAATAATGTATTTTATCAGAGCTGTTGTTTTCATTACTAATTAGGTAATTTATTAAAATAGACATTTAACCCAAACATTCATTTGTACAAGTAACTTCAGCTTTCTACATGGTAAAATGCAAAAGGGCACTTTCTAATAATTATTCTTCATAATATGTACAACATATTCACACTGTATATAATTTCAAACCTAGAGAAAGCTTAAACTGCTGACACGGTTTTCACCAGTTTGATGTCTGATATCATTAAACATACTTATTAAAAAATGATGATGCTTACCTTTGCTCAGGTATGTTTTAAAAATTTCTCTAAGTTATTATTTTATAAACAATTACTATAGATAAATGAATATGAAAGGTAATATGAAAACTGAGTAGCAAGCACACATCTAGCTGTGTAAAGAAAGAACAGTATTACCACTATTATTGACAGCTGGAAGTTTCAGGAGAAATTAAGCTGAACAGCATCTCTGGTCATGGTCTGGCTAAAGTTCCCCAAGAGTTCTCAATTCTTAAATATGAACAGATAATCACTGCATAAGAGTCTCTCAATCAAGTACTGCCGAAACCTAAGCCTTTACAGAATTCTGTGGTGTAAATCAGTTTAGTTCTTAGAGTTCTCCACTACTAGCTTAATATTGGCTTTATTAGGGGATATCAAGTTCCCTCCCTCCCTTCCTTCCTTCCCATCTTCCCCTTTATAAAATGTTTAGCTATTGTCTCCTCTCCTATTATTCCCAACCTTGTGGATTTGTGCTTTAAAAATAAATCCTTTCATGATAGTTTTAGAGGGATTTGAGGATACAGCAAGATTAGATGAGTGTTTTCACCTGCCACCTTCCATGATAGCGTAATATTCATAAAATCACAAATTAACCACTGAAATAAATATTTAGTTTATTTCAAAATTTTGGACATTGCAAACAATACTGCAATGACCATTTTATGCACATTTGCTCCTAGAGAATGGTTTCTAAGGGAATGTAAAAAGATAACACCATTCTGAAAACAATTCAGCAATGACTATCAAAATCAGAAACACACACGACCCAGGAATTTAGAGGCTATACGTATTTACGCATTTGATGGATATTGCTAAGCTGTCCTCTAGAAAGGCCATATCAATTCACTTTCTCATTGACAGTGCAATCAATCTGTTTCCTTACATCTTTCTAACATTGGCTATATATTAGTTTTTAAAGGTTATTATCAAACCAATTAGTAAAAGAATGTCTATTTATTTTGTTTTATTAGAGAAGTTGAACAGTTTTCTTTGTTTACTAGATATTTATATTAATTCTGTGAGGTATCTATTTACATCCTTTGCCTATTTTTCTACTGGATTATCTTTTCCTTATTATCTTTGTAGGGAATTTTTATGTATTAATAATTTACATTAACCTTTTGTCTGATTATAAATTGTTTTCTCCCTATTAGCCTTTTTTAATAGGGCCTTTTACCTTCCAGAAACTTCACACTTTTATGTTGTAAAATCCTCTATGACTTCATGATGTTTGGAGAATCTTACCCTTCTGAAAGATTACAAAAATAGTCCCCCGTTTTTCCATCTGAAATAAGGTACTCTACAATAGTCTTTTGCACAATCTTCCACCCCAGTATCCACAATCCTGGATTGTGAAATTAGAACTTTTCAGAGCAAACAGGGAGCACCTTGGAATTATGTATCTTTTTGGAGGAATACTCTCTGGAAATCCAGGAAAAAAGCAATTATACAATTTTCAGACATTTGACCTACACCAAGAAAAGATGGGTCAGAATAGATGAGTTATTTCACAAATTATAGGAACTTTGTAACAAAATAGTTAAAAGAGCATCTATACTGTAACTCACTGTTGGCTAATCATGTTCTCTCTGGTTTCACAGAAGCTTGTATGCATTTCTTACCCTTGCTACTAGGTTACTCTAGTCTCTTAAAGGCTAGAGTAATTTGAGTGATTGCAGCTGATCCAAAATCTCTCTTAAAGGCAAGAATGCTATCTTATTCATCCTGTGTTCATTATAGCACCTACTAAAAGTCCTTGAATATAAAAGATTCTAAAATATTTTACTATGTGAATATCTTGCAGAAAAAAAATTAAAGCTAAATTATTTTAAAGACAATATACTTTCTAAAAAGATAACATAAACATAATAATCAATAACGATAATAATAAAAATACCACCATCTAGCATGTATTGCATACTTACCAAGTGCCAGGTACTATGCTAAGTCCTTCATATACATTCTTCCAACTAAGAACACAGACTGTAGGTATATTTTATCACATACATAATATAAAAAAAACCTTTGTGGCCGGGCATGGTGGCTCACGCCTGTAATCCCAGCACTTTGGGAGGCTGAGGCGGGCAGATCACCTGAGGTCGGGAGTTCGAGACCAGCCTGACCAATATGGAGAAACCCCATCTCTACTGAAAATACAAAATCAGTCGGGTGTGGTGGTGCTTGCCTGTAATCCCAGTTACTCAGGAGGCTAAGGCAGGAGCATCGCTTGAACCTGGGAGGTGGAGGTTGAGCCAAGATCACGCCATTGCCCTCCAGCCTGGGTAACAAGAGCAAAACCCCGTCTCAAAAAAACAAACAAACAAACAAAAACCCTTCCTGCTGCTGGAGTGGAGAGTCATATTTTGCTCACTTCCAGCATTTTGCCTTCATTTCCTTGAGAAAATTTCTGCAAAAGGATCTAAGTTGATCTTAACTCTCTGTTTATAATGTTAATATTTACAAAGTAATTTTTTTTAAGGCATGGATAGTAGAAAAACTTAAGTTTCTATTTATGTACCTCATGTAAACCCAATTCGAATTTCATCACCATTTCAGAAAGATGACGATTTTCTAATTTGAGTGACTCCAGCTGATCCAAAATCTCCTGAAAAGGGGAAAGCAGAAAAAAATAAATATAACATGTAAATCAAATGCATCTTACAAAGTTTTCCACATGGAATTTTCATTAGGCTAAGTCATATTCTTCATTTATATATAAACATATAAATATACATATATATATATATGGACTTTCTAAAAAGACTTATAAGGTGTTATTAAGGTGAATGAACAGGAATGGGATGAAGATATCATTCTAATAGGATAAATCAGGTGATAAAGCAGCAAAGTTTCAATTCACTGGTAAATCCCTTAAATCCCTACCCATTCTCCTGTGTTGGACTCCTCCAACTTGGCGTCTACCTGCAACGTCACATGGAATTGTACTTTATTCACAAAATAATAACTTATTTTCAGTTCTCATTCTCCTTAGCTTTTGTGCTTAACCATTCCCATTTGAAAATATTCCTTCTGGCCAGGCACGGTGGCTCACCCAGCACTTTGGGAGGCCGAGATGGGCGGATCACGAGGTCAGGAGATCGAGACCATCCTGGCTAACACGGTGAAACCCCGTCTCTACTAAAAATACAAAAAAAAAAAAATTAGCCGGGAGTGGTGGCAGGCGCCTGTAGTACCAGCTACTCGGGAGGCTGAGGCAGGAGAATGGTGTGAACCCAGGGGGCGGAGCTCGCAGTGAGCCGAGATTGCGCCACTGCACTCCAGCCTGGGCGACAGAGTGAGACTCCGTCTCAAAAAAAAAAAAAAAGAAAATATTCCTTCTTTCCTTGGCTTGGCAAAAACTATCTAATTTTCCTCCTCACTGCTCCCTTTTTTTAAGCTTCATTCCAACATCTTTTATACGCTAAATGAGAAGTATCCTAAGTTTGGTTTCAGTCACTTCTCTTTTTATGCTACGCTTTCTCACTATAATCATTAAGTCTCTCAGGGGGTTTCAAATGTCACCATGAAGAAAGGACAGCTACAGCTAAATACCTAATCCTGATTTTAATCTTTAACTCCAGGCCCTCTGTGGAAATGACTATTATCCACACAAAATTCCAGCCTTTATTCCAAACAAATGTGTTAAACCAAAGTCCTCTCCACCAGTTTCCCCAGTCTGTGTACTTTTCACACAAATTCATCATCCTTCGCCAAACTAGATCCCTGTCTTTTCTCTATTTAATTAAAGAGCGTCAGTTTCCATCAGTTGCCTAAGCTTAAATCCTGTGGAAGACCATTTCTTAACTCTGCCTACCTCACCCTCCCTGCCAATCAAATACAATGCCCAGTCATTTTTACCAGCCCAGTATCTCCAGAATTCATCCATTTCTCTCTCCCTCCCTTACCCACTGCTCAGGCCACCATCTTACCACTGTAACAGCATCTGGGTGCTCTGTCTCCCTGCTTATTCTCCATTTAAAGACCACTGAATTTTACTCCTGCTTGTGGCCATTCCCTACTGACCTCAAGGTCACAGTATAACTCCTTTATGTGGCTAATAGAGCCTTTCAGCAGCCAGTCCCTGCTTTCCAGTCTCATACCTTCCACTCATCCCACGTGTACTCTAGTTTCAACCACAGCAAGCGTGTTCTACTATCTCTTAGAGACCACTGTATTTTCCTGTGCCTGAAATACTTTTCCTTCCCCTCACCCAGCTCGCTCCTAACTTAGCTTTGCTATCACACCTTCTGGAAGGCCTTTGCAGCGAGTGGTCTAGATTCAGGCTGCTTGTGATCTCTAGTGACTCTCATCATACACCACTGATATAGTCACTTTACTTGTCTGTGTCTACTCTCACCTCTGCACCACCCTCACTAAACTCTCTGTTAACCAGCATACCCTCAGCTCAAAGCAGGTATTTAATAAAAATTCACTGAATTAAATATTACGAAAATTATGTCTTTAATCAATTCCATCTTTAAAACAAATTTCAAATTTAAAAAAGTTTTTGTTCGGGCTTCACCTTATGCTCTACTGCTTTTTCTTCTGCCTTTTGCATCTCTGCTTTGAGTCGCTTTTCCATGTCTGAGGAAGAACCTTTGGTGGAAGCAATAGAGATATCTCGCTGATGTAACTCCTGAGTTAGATGGGAGATTTCCATCTTCATTCCTTCTAGTGCAGAACTGTAACTTTGTTCACCCTGTAAAATCTGTTCTTTCAACTATAAAGAAAGCAGAAAAGAAAGCACCAAAAGAGAAAGCATTTAGATAGAATAATATGTTACCAGCTAATAAAATAAAAGCTTACCTTATCTCAAGACGTTAAATTTCTCCTGAATTAAATCTGCAGAAAAATTAGCAATTTACCAAGTTGCATATCTGTACTGAAGGTCAGGTGGTTATACCTACAATCATTTATTATACCTCAAAACAGGGAGAGATGGGTTATTCAAGTGCTGAGGACCAGAATCAAGGTCCATGCACACTATTTAGAGGACAGTACTTGTGACCTTCATTCTTTTTTTTAGTTGTGAATCTAAAAGTTTTGCTCATATGGTATCTTGGTCCACAGGATAACAAACAGAAAGAACAAGAGGAAGAAATGAGCTAGAAGTAATCTTCAAGAAGTAACAAAAAATACAAAACAACAAATAGGACAGTTAGGACCCACTCATATAGACACAAACAGCTCTGCATACCTCAATAGCTGACAAGGATACCAACCACATCATAGCACAGGAGACAATCCATAAATACTATGTTTAGGCAATAAGAAAATATTAAATGACAGTTCATATTTTTTTGCAAACACTAAGTGTATGTCTTTTAGAAAACCTTTCATTAAGACATGTTTAAAATAAAGTTTTTAAGTTCAAAGGGAACAGCCTTCAATTATCTTAAAAATATTTATTGGGCATCGGGGGGATGCCAGAGAAAGAAGGCACTTTCCCTATGCACATTCCATGTACTCTTCCACTCCTAAATATCAAGTGGCCCCTTGAACTACATTTTTCTCTCATTAAAAATAACCCCTATAATCTCCAAACCCACAGCTCAGTCCATAAACACATACAATTTTGCAATCCTAGGTATGCATATTTTTACCTTCTTAATCTCTGCTCTGTATTCATTGTTATGTGCTTCCATCCTCTTTAATTCTTCATATTTTTCCATTAGTTCTTGACTCAGCTGTTTACATGTTGCACTCACAGATTCCAAACTGCATGACAAAAATAAGATCCCATATTTAAAACAAAACCAAAATCCCGAAACCTATAAATTGGACTATATAATTTACATTCTTGATGTCCAAAAGATATCCAGCCAATATCTTAAACATCACATCACTCATTTAAATATTACTAAAAAGCCAATCAATAAAAAAACTGTGATAAAAATGTAAATTGTTGTCCCAATGTCAAAAATAATAAACTTAATTTTAGTCAAATGGAAGAGTACACATATACGTCAATGATAACAAAGATTATCTCAAGTACTCCAAGTATTCCAAAAGGAATAAAGCAGAAAATATGTGTGTGTATGTATGTTTGTGCATTTAACATGTAGATAAAAGAAAATACTGGTTTCCAAAACCAGAAATAAATGTAAAAACAAAAAATGTATTACTTAAAGATAACTTAAAAAGTGTAAAATGATATTTCTCTTGTTGTTTGCCTAAAGGTTAATAGTTCATGTTAAAAGTAATTTTATCTTTTATATACAGAAAATGCCAGTGTACAAATGATCATGAGTCATGTGTTTAAAACAAAATATCACACTCTTCCCAATCAAAAAGTTGAGAGGTACGAAAAACCAAAAAAAAAATTATAAGTACGACAATGACAAGAGTTTAGGTAGGTATGGTATAGCATTAGCCAGGATTCAATTAACGCCCAAGGAAGTAACAACACCACAGCAGAACAAAAAGGAGGATCACCATGTGTCAACTGTTACCCCTTCCTACCCTGCTTCCAAGGTGGCAGGGAGGACAACCTAAGTGAAGGGCTGCTAAACAGGTGAAAGGTAAAGAAGTAGAGTCAGTACAGACAATTCTTTTGAAGAATTTGGTCTTAAAGAGAAGTACAGAAATGTGGAAGTAACTTGACGGAGATATAGGATTAAGGGATGGTTTTTCTCCCAGATGGGTGACGTTATAGCATATTTTATACCAGTGGATATAATTCAGCAGAGAGAAAGAACTTGATGATGTAGAAAAGAAAGGATATAACTACAGAAAAAGGACACAAGTGGAGTAGTTGGTCTTAGAAGTGCAGAAAGGCACAGGTGTGGGAAGACTGGTAGTTTTGATGACAGAAAGATTAAGAAGTTCTCCTTTAATTGCTGCTGTCTTCTCAATGAAATAAGAACTTAGGGCAGGGTGTGGTGGCTCACACCTGTAATCTCAGTACTTTGGGACGCTGAGGCGGGTAGATCACCTGAAGTCAGGAGTTCAAGACCAGCCTGGCCAACATGGTGAAACCCTGTCTCTACAAAAATACAAAAATTAGCCAGGCGTGGTGGTGCACGCTTGTAATCTCAGCTACTTGGAAGGCTGGGGAGGAAGAATCGCTTGAACCGGGAGGCAGAGGTTGCAGTGAGCCGAGATCGTGCCATTGCACTCCAGCCTGGGTGAAAGAGTGGGACTCCATCTCAAAAAAAAAAAAAAAGAAATAAGAACTCAGGCCGTTTGTGGATGCTAGAAAAAAATCTTATTTTTTTCACTGTGACTATTATATTCATTTACTTTATCAATATGATGATCAAAAATTCATTTTAACAACTTGAAATTTTTGAAATGTGTGTATAATTATGTACCTGCCTTCAAGACGAGTCACCTCTGCCTGCAGAAGTTCCTCACTAGTATGGGTAAAATTCAACTGCGAGAGCACACTGTCTAAGTCCCCCTGCCCTTGAGAGGTGTACTTCTTTTCTGCCAGAGATTCTTCCCGTAGCCTATGGAAAGACATAGGATGACTGTTAAGGCCTTTATCTCTGCAAACACAAACAATGCACATCTAGTTTGTGTTTCCCAACCATTTTTGATAAACTCTTTGGAACTCTTCAGTTTGTCCCCTGCTTTATAAAAAGAATATTGGGAGAGGAAAGACAGTCAAGAGATGCTAAAAGTTATAAAAGCAGCAATTTACTCCCTTCTTAACTGGGATTTGGCCTATTTTTCAAGGGAAAAAGACAAAATGGCAAAATCACTTCAGTGACACTTGAAACCTTGTACCAAAAAAACTGAAAAGTTACAGGAGAATTCTGGCAAAAATAAAAATGTGCACCAGACTTACATCAAGCAAGAGGGTTAGCCCAATGGCTGGCTGCTATTATTGATAAGCAGCTACTAATCACGACCTACTCCACCAAGAAAGTGAGGCCTCCAGGAGATGTGAATGACAATTCCCTGCATGTTTGGATTTTCCCCAAGCATGCAAACTGACCTTGGCTTCTAACTTTCTAAACATGAGAGTCTCTGTTAGGGATCCAAACTGGTGGCAGAAGAAAATTAACCACACAAAATTTTATAACACTTTAAAAACCTAACTCAGAAGTTAAAGCCAATTAAGAAAATCCACAATACGATCAAACATAAAATTATGAATAGGCAATATTAAAACCAGTGCTTGGACGGGCGTGGCAGCTCACACCTGTAATCCCAACACTTTGGGAGGCCGAGGTGGGCAGATCACCTGAGGTCAGGAGTTCAAGACCAGCCTAGCCAATATGATGAATGGCCATCTCTAAAAATACAAAATACTAGCCAGGTATGGTGGCGTGCACCTGTAGTCCCAACTACTTGGGAGGCTGAGGCTGAAGAATCGCTTGAACCTGAGAGGTGGAGGTTGCAGTGAGCTGAGATTGTACCACTGCACTCCAGTCTGGGCAACAGAAGGAGACTATCTGAAAATAAAATAAAAATAAAAATAAGCCTAGTGCTTAATGCCTAGCCATTAAGTGGCTAAGATGAATAATATTTAAGATTAAATTTACCTTATAGCTTCTACAGCATGTTGAGTGTCAGTTGCCTTTACTTTTTCTTGTAACTTCTCCTTTTGCATTCTTCCCTCATGGATGAGATTTTCTTGAGACTGAAGAGCTGCCCTTAATTCTCTCTTTTCTTCCTGCAGAGCCTGCGAAAAAGTCAAATATGATTGTAATTTTCCTTCTATTCTTTTTTCTTCCTGCAGAACCTGCAAAATACCCAGAAATTTCTAAGCCAGCTATTATTACAATTTTTCTATTTCATAAGAAGCCAGGAAGTCAGACTATAAGTTATGTAACAGTCACAATATTAACAAAACTATCAATATCTGATCCATCATTTATAAAGCAGGGAAGAAAGTATAGATTGTAGAACCTAGTTCTAGCTTAATAACACTCTCTTAAAACACACATACACACGCTTCCCCCAATTACAGTGATTTTAAAACAGACCTCTAATAGTTTTTCAGATTCCCTCAGTTTTTCTTCTTTTTGCTGCTGCTCCTGCAGGACAGTCATACTGGTTCCAACCAAGTCATTGACCCTCATGGTGAGGCGCTCTATTTCCAACTCATTGGCACAGATAGTGTCATTGGCCCGCTCCAGTTTACTGCTTAAGTGTTGAATTTCTGATTGGCTGGAAAGTTCCACAGACTCTAATTTCTGTTTCCGATTGGCGAGCTGAGCCTAGAAACACAGACTATCAATCAATAGGTAAAAGGGAAATTATAAAATAATCAATGAATAAGACTAAAATGAAACTATTATTTCCATAGAAGCATAAAGCACTGGCTCACTAAAATATATATACATTGAGAAGGGGTAAGAAAGAATTGAGAGGCTGGGCATGGTGGCTCATGCCTGTAAGCCTAACACTGTGGGAGGCTGAGGCGGGCAGATCGTTTGAGCTCAGGAGTTGGAGATCAGCCTGGAAACATGGCGAAACCCTGTCTTTATAAAAAATTGGCCGGGTGCGTGGATCACGCCTGTAATCCCAGCACTTTGGGACGCTGAGGCAGGTGGATCACGAGGTCAGAAGATCGAGACCATCCTGGCAAACATAGTGAAACCCCATCAAAATACAAAAATTAGCTGGGCGTGGTGGCGCGTGGCTGTAATCCCAGCCGCTTGGGAGGCTGGGGCAGTAGAATCACTTGAACCAGGGAGTCGGAGGTTGCAGTGAGCTGAGATTGCGCCACTGCACTACAGCCTAGTGACAGAATGAGACTCGGTCTCAAAACAAAGAAACAAAAAATACAAAAACTACCCAAGCATGGTGGCATGAGAGGATCACTCGAACCCAGGAAGCGGAAGTTGCAGCGAGCCAAGATCATACCACTGCGCTTCAGCCTGTGTGACAAAGTGAGAACCTGTCTCAAAGAAATAAATAAATAGAAAAGAATGGATAAAGTAAAGGGATTCCTCAGGAGAAGAGATGCTACAGTATTCTACCTACTTACACAGAAATTCAACTGCAACCTGGCTGGAATTATTTCCTATTTAAAACATAGGAAATAGGAGCTATAATGCATTATTATATTTCTGATGGAAGTTTAGAAATTAGATTTCAAAATCACTAAATTTGTAGTTTAAATTCCGCCCCCCGCCCCCGCCACCTGGAGCATGTTGTAATTATTCTGTTTTAACATTATAAACATTCATATTTAGATTAGTCAAAGTAACCATAAAATGCTCTTTAAATTCAGAGAAATGGGGAAATTGTGGATTTTTGTTTATTGGAGGAAAAGGTGCTTATAAGGGAGGAGAGACTGGTTCTGTCATCAGTTTTTGGACACTTCCTGAGTTAAAAGAGGTAGACAAATATAGTGCATCTCAAATTGGTTTCTCTCAATGATATATCTACTGACTACTATGTTTTAGGCTATGCATCCCAGCAATATTGGGTTTTAGCTCCAAACTTTTTAGTATTTACAAGTTTTAATCCAGCATCCTGGCTGGTACTTCATCTACACACTGAAGATGAATATAAATAATCTGTGGAAGTAAACTTCCCTTATTCTAAATATTTCTAAAGGTAAAAGCACACAATTTTATTTTAGAAACACAAGTAGAAATATCTCTGGGAAGTCTATCTGTTGCAGATTTAAAGATTTTATTATTTGCAGTACAGGTCCAAATCCTGTACTGTATACTGCAGTCAGATAAAGTAGATGCTAAAAACTTCCCATAAGCCAGAGAGAGGGTAGAAGAGAGGTGAAGAGACAGACAAATACTGTTTGTATAAATTACTGATCAAGATTTCAGTGCAAAGAGCCTTTTTTTTAAAACCAGATTCCTACAATGGTATAAAGGAAGAACATCAACATTTAGGTTTAGATTCACTAGAACAATTGCTAAGCATAGAACTGTCTCCAAACTTTTAAATATAATATAAACTTTTTTTTCAAAGAGGAAAGGTTTCTTGTGCAGAATAAATAAATGCAGAGAATGGGTGAGGGTGAGAAGGAGAAAAGGGTTAGAGCTCAGCTTGCTGAAACATCCCTTAGTCCTACCCTTAATCTGTACAGCAGCCCTGGGTCTTAGCAAAACACAGCTAGAAACCCACTGCCCAAATGGGCACTCAGATAATACATAATTGCAAAACACTATCTTCCTAATACTGCAAGAGTTACTTAATACTATCAACTCAAATCTGTGATCTTAAACTCAGTATTGATAAAATAAACTAATAGTCAAACCAAGGTATACTTTAACCAGCGATTCTAGATTTGCTAAATACTAATAAACTTCTCAGTTTTGAAGAATGAAGAACATAACTTTCTTTCACTGATTTACTATTTTGGTCACACAAAAATACAGTTTTTTTTTAAGCATAGTGAAAAGTACATAATCAACTCAAGTACAAACTCTAAATTTTCATTGCCTAGAATACACTAGGGTTGCACTACCATCGCAGTCACCCACATGCGGCTACTGCACAACTAAACTGTGGCTAATCTGAATAGAGATGTGCTCTTAACTGTAAAACACAAATTCAGTTAAAGATTTCAAAGACTCAGTTAAAAAAATGTAAAGTAACTGTTGTAATATTTGATATATTGCGTTATTAAAATTAATTTCACCTTTTTACTTTTTAATGTGACTAGTAGAAAATTTTAAATTACATGTGACTCACCAATATCTATTAGCATTACAATAATCTCAAGAATATCTCATCAATACTAAGAAAGTATTATTTTTAATAATTATTAAAAATAATTATTTAAAATACTTATAAAATAATGATTATTTCTGATAATTATCTGGCTTTAGAGGTATTTTAAGGTTGGCATATTGTTAAACTTTTTTTTTTTTTTTTTTTTTTTTTGCAGTAACCACTAATTCTTTGAGCCAGAAACAGGCATTCCTCTTATTAATCTAATATTTAGCATTCTATTGGAGTGGGTAGAGAGTTATTTCAACAATACAAATCACAGCAGAGGTGGTTAAAAGAAGCAATCAAGAAGGCAATTTACATCAGGGAGACTGAAATTGAAACTGAAACAAATGGCCACTGTGGGCAGCTAAAGGGTGAAGGAGAGTGGAGAAGAAATTGGGGACTGGGGGTTGAATTCAAATCCTCTTCTGGATGTGTGATAGGTACTTCCTGCTTCAAGAAAAGGACTCTCCCAGATAGTGAGATTACTATGAACAATGTGATATGAAGCAACAGGGCTTTTTATTTTCCAAAGAATCCCAGTGTAAAGGTATGGCCATTGTAAGCATCAATCCCTTACTAAGCTCCCCATCACTGTCAACTCCAAATGCGCCAGTGCAGGCCACAGCCTTGCAGCATTTCCACTAGAGAGCAGCCTAAAGAGCCTGCTAACAAACACAGCTCCCACTAAGATCCTGTTATTACTGCTGTGTCTATGCTACTACGAACTTCTAAACAGTAAGTCTAAGTCAATTCAATTAACTCTGATATTTCTACCAAGACAACAGATTAACATTTGAGTTAGGGTCATTTTTTTCTTCAAAAGTTGTGACAGCAAAAGGATGCTTTTAAAAATATAACATATATACTTATAAATACATTTATATACATATAATTAACAGTGGATTTAAAATTAACTTGAAGAATATCTTACAGCTCATCTAAGCATTTCAAAAGGAAAACATATAGAGCAACCTCTACTTTTTTCACATACTGTTTATCAGCTAAATATTTTATATTTTATGTTGGCTTAATATTTTAATTTTTTTCAAATGTTCCTAATGTTCACTAAGTTTTCCTTAAACATTTCCTTTGCATTATGTAGGCAACAGAAAAAGTAGCAGGCAATTTGTTGCCTTCTAAACATAAATGACCTTGGTTTTAGACTGTACTGATCCTTTTCTTATACTATATAACCACCATTCTGTTATTACATCTAGCATTATAGTTTAACAACTGTACTTTTAAATAAAATACATTTTAATATTTGATAGAACAAACATCCCCCATTACTCTTTTTTAAAAAATGTTGGCGGCCAGGCGCGGTGGCTCACACCTATAATCCCAGCACTTTGGGAGGCTGAGACGGGTGGATCACTTGAGGTCACGAGTTCGAGACAAGCCTGACTAGGATAGTAAAACCTCGTCTCTACTAAAAACACAAAATCAGCTGGGCATGGTGGTGCATGCCTGTAATCCTAGCTACTTGGGATGCTGAGGAGGTGGATTGTTTGAATCTGGGAGGCAGAGGTTGCAGCGAGCCAAGATTGCGCCATTGCACTCCAGCCTGGGCAACAAGAGCAAAAATCCACCTCAAAAAAAAAAAAAAAAAAGTTGGCTAGTATCATTCATTTATCATTCCATATGAATTTTAGAATCATTTTGTTCCTGAAAACGTTATACTCAGTAAATTATATAACCATTTAAAAAACAAATTTAGATCCCTATCAAATACTTTACACTAAAATAATTTTTAGATAAAATGCATTAAAAAGAAATGATAAAGCATTAGAAGAAATTTGACTTAGGTAAGACTTTATAGTATGATATCAAAGATAGAAATGCTGAAGAAAAAATTGATAGAATTAAGTAATTCTAATTAACTGTTTATAAAACAATTGTATTTCTACAAAAAAATTAAGGTAAATTGAGTACACACACACAACTGTAACATAATAGCAAAGGGCTTAATCTTCATACTTAAGTGTATGAAGAGCTCTTTCAGAATAGTAAAATATAAACATCTGGCCAGGTGTGATGCTAACACTTTGGGAGGCCGAGACGGGCAGATCACTTGAGGTCTGGAGTTCAAGACCAGCCTGGTCAACGAGGTGAAACCCCGCCTCTACTGAAAATACAAAAATTAGCTGAGCGTGGTGGCGAGCACCTGTAATCCCAGCTACTCAGGAGTCTGAGGCAGGAGAACTGCTTGAACCCGGAAGGCAGAGATTGCAGTCAGCCAAGATCAGGCCACTGCACTCCAGGCTGGACAACAGAGACTCTGTCTCAAAAAAGAAAATAAGATTTTTTTTAAAAATCCTAAAAGAAAGGCGAATAAAGGACACAAATAATTTATGAAAAATGAAGATGGCCATAAACAGACGAAAAAAGTGCTCAACCTCACTCATATTACAACAATATATATTAAAACAATGATATCATTTTTTTTCACCTATAAGATTAGCAAAGACAAGCCTAAAAGTGGGGAAAGTCAAAAGAAATAATAGTGCTTAATGTAGGGAAAATATGAGGAAATGGATATTCTCACATACTACTAAAGAAAGTCTATCAATCCATCATTGGAGAAAACTTTGACAATGTATATTAAAATATTTGAATGTACTCTTATACAGCAATTCCAATTCAAGGTCCATTTCCTAAGAAAATAAATATTTCTAAATGTTTATATAAGGATGTTAATCTAAGCACTATTTACAAAAGTGAAAAGTAAAAAACTAAATGTTCTACAGTAAGGGACTGGTTACAAATGTCATCATACGTTTGACGATAGGGTGGACTTCTATGTAATCATTATGACTACAAATTTGTTGACATATCATATTTAAAAAGGAAAAATTTTAAAGCTGTGAAGTGCTTAGCATAGTACCTGATCACATAGTAAGCATTCTATATATTTTAAAGTTATTACTTCATGGAAAATTTCAAGCATACACAAATATAGAGAGAGTAAGATGAACCCCTATCACACAACTTCAAAAATTATCAACACTTTGCTATTGTCAGTATTTTTTAAAGTTTGCAACTACCTCTCCCTTCCCATTCACAGTGCATATAGGTTTTTCCTACCAAAAGTACATGAATGTATTGCACACTGTATGTAAGCATACACAAAGTCAGAAGAAATTTATACCAAAATTTTATTCATGGTAAATCTCTAAACGGTAGAATTATGGGTGATTTATTTATTTCTCATTTTATCTGCATTTTCTCATTTTTCTAAAACAAGCATGTATTATGTAATTTTAATAGCTTATTAAAAGAAATGAATTCAAGCAAATATATGTCAAAGAATGAGAAGTTGTTTCTGAATTATACTTTTAGATGTTAAAAACATACAAGAAAAAAATTATACAAAGATTTTTTTTTTAATGAAGGGTAGGTTAATATCCACTTAGTCTCCCAGGTTTTCCACTGCTATTATTCAATGGTGACCCACACTTCAACCAAATGCAATATATCAACCTTGACAGGATTCTGACTCAAACATCCGATTGTAAAAAGATAGTTTTTTGGACAACTGGGGAAATGTGAACAGACTGGATATTAAGTTATATTAAGAAGTTATTATCCTATTAATGTGATACTGATATATTGTAGTTATTTTTTAAGTCCTTACCTGTTTGGAAATAAGATGATATCTATGATTTGCTCTGTAATATTCCACCCAAAAATAAGAAGTAGTGAATGGTATAGAGTTTCAGTTTGACAAGATAAAAAAGTTCTAGAGATCTGTTGTACAATGTACATATAGTTAACATTACTATACTATACATTTAAAAATGGTTAAGGTGGAACATTTTATGTGTATTTTACCACAATTAAAATAAAGATTTACAAGATGACAACTATTAATGCTCGTTAATGGATATAGATAAGTTTATTTAGATGTTTAAAAAAATGATGATCATACAGCACTGGTATATACTGAATCATGGAAAGATTTAATTTTATTTAGTTTGCCAAGGGAGAAAGATAAATACATTTATAGGTAACATTTTTATTAAACAATCAGATAGTTTTAGGTTAAACAAAACTATCAGAAGAATAATTCAAACAGCCTTAGTAGGAAAACAAATGTTGGCTGTTGAAAGACTTCTTACTCTAGCCGTAGCTGAATTACAGGAAGTAAAAATCCCATTTTTTCTAACAATGAAGTTTTTATTATGTAGAGTCAATAATCACAATAGTAATTTGGAATAGAATAACAGTAATGTGAAAAGAGACTCTATAATCAATAATACTCCATGGATAAACAATTGAGAACTGTAAAAATTCAGACTCAATTTGTTTTTTTGTCAATCTGAAGCCTACAACTAGAATATAACAATATCTTGGTCAAGTGTGGTAGCTCACACCTGTAATCCTAGCACTTAGGAGGCCAAGGTGGGAGGATAGCTGAAGCCCAGGAATTTGAGATCAGCCGGAGCAATGTAGCGAGACCTCATCTCACGAAAACCAACAAATTTTTTTGTTGTTGTTAAGAAAAAAAAAAACATGTATTATATATAAAACAATACCTTATAGTTATTAGGTCTGTATAGTGCTTTGGTATTCAAGTAAAAAAACTGGTCTAGACATCTCATGATTTCACTGGTCTGTCTGGCTGCGTAGCTTGCTGTGGCCTAAAAAATAAATTTCTTCCTTGCAGTTGTTGTGAACTTTTCCTATCATTTTGAATGAAGTTACTCATAGCAGAGCCACTGTCGGTAGTTTATCAGACAGCTGATATTTCAGGGAGACGAACAAAGAGTTAATGCATTATTGAGACTTAAAACAGCATATAAATGCAGATTATTTTTAAAAATCCAAAAAGCCAAAAAAAGCAAAAAACAAAAAAACCTCCCTTCTAGCTATTTCAACTTACCCAGTCTGTTCCCTCATTCTATAAAACTAAGATAACTACCAACCTTGACAGATTATCATAATATTAAACAGAGAACACACACAAAAATTGTCTAGAAGCACTGGGTCAATGTCTAGCACATAACAGATGATCGTAATTTTTTTTAGTTTCCTTTATGTTCTTGATTCTAACTGAAAAAGGAATGAGCTGAATAGGTTCTTACAAGACATATTCCTAAAGTAGGTGTCTGGTTTTTGGTTTTGCTCAAGCCATTAAGAGAAAAGTTTCTATCAGTGTTCTAAAATAAGTATTTTTGTTACCACAAAGACACCACTTTTAGTTAGTGTGCACACCATTGCCATGTGACTCTCTCCACATCTGTCCGCATGGGCAGACAAACTGAAGCTCCCCGGCTGAGGCACCTTGGCCAAGACACCCCAGTGACCATAGGGATAGTGTAAGGCGTGGACTATAGTAGAGCTGAGAGACCTAACAAGAGACAGAAAGACATGGAAAAGGAGACAGAGGGAGGAATGGGATTGTGGTAAGGAAGAAAGAGAGGAGAGGAAGAGAGGGTGACAAAGCCAGGGACCAAGATGAGGACAGTGAACATGGATGCAAGCATAGAGCCTCAGTAAGCAAGACAATGACAGAGAGTGGGTGAGCAAGTCAGAAACAAGCAAGGAGGCAAAGCGGCAAGCCGGCACAAAGACATGAGCCTGGACAGGAGAGTGAATACACGCATGTGTGAGGGCAGGAGGGAAGGAGGAGCTGGGTCTAGATGCTGAGGAGGAGAGGCTGCCTAAACAAGAAAGAGAGCAGGGTTTGTGGAGAGAAGCTGAAAGAGGCTAAATGGTACCAGGACACTGCATTAAGGTAGTTCAAACTTGATCAAAACCTATCTGCTTCTCATTATTTTAAAAAGTCTTAGGCCTACCTGAATTATCTCTGATTGTTCAGCCAGAGCCTTCCTTTGTGCCTCCAGTGAAGATACCTGTTGCTGATAAATCAAGCGTTGCTTCTCCCAGTCCAGCGATTTCTGACGGAATTCCTGAGGAAGCAATTAGAGTACTTAATTTCTGAGTGCTTCTCCTCACTGTCACTACTTCCCAGACTCCCTTTTACTTTAATTTCTCCCCATGTCCCTGGGTACGCTCGCACCTTTCTCCACAGCAGGAGACCCATTACTCACTTAGCTAACAGAGCTAGAGAGTAACACTAAATTCCTCACATACTGTGCCTCTGGATATCTGTCTTTCTAAATTTAACACCCTAATGGTGAGGAGTATGAAACGCAGATGCTAAGCACTGGATTCAGATGTTTTTCATTGATTTGCTGCCACCTAAGGGTTGTTATAATTTTCTAGTGAATTTTCAGAAAACTGACGCTAAGATAACTAAAATTTTAAAGTATGATTACAGATATCCCTCGCTATCCAAATTCTTGATATCCAGACCCAGGAATTGAACAGATTAAATTTTCAGATAAGTCCTTTGGTAACCCAAATCTTACTTCTCAGTATCGAAAACTCAAGAACCAAGTAGATTCAGACAATACAATATCCTTTGATGTCCACATTTTTATTATCTCAACAGAGGAACTGCAAAGGCTTGAATAACAAAGAAAATCTGTACTAAATTTTAACAGATATTTGTAACCCAAAGCCGAACAGTTCAAAATTAATGATGGATCAATAGTAACATCAAATTGCATGATCAAGAAAATGATTTCAATATTTATGAAAATGGGGCAAATCAAAGGGAAAGGAAACTCAATCTTTCTATCACTGTCTTCCAGGATCCTCAACTCCAGAAGTCTCAGGCTCCTTAAGATAACTGTTGTTAACCAAATTTCTGATATTCATTCATTTATTCATTCATTCATTCATTCTACTATATATACCAGGTACTGCTTTAGGTGTCAGGGATACAATACTTAACAAAACAAACAAAAACTCTAGTCCCACTCAACTGGGGGCAACAGATGACACATTTCTTGTATGGTATAGCAGACGGTAATACACGATTTGGAGAAAACAAAGCATAAAGTCTTCAGAGTTGGGGTTGTAATTTTTAAAAGGGATGGCCAGACTGAGTGAAAAACATTTAAGTAAACACTTAGGGAGATGAGGGTGAAGTTACAATATTCTGGGTGGAAAGAACAGCCTTGAAATAAGAGGATCCTGGTGTGTTTAGGGTGAGAAAGGAGACTGGTGTGGCTGGAATAAAGTGAATGAAAGGGAAAATAGGAGAAGACAAGGTATGAGAATGAGACCACGTAGGCCACTAGGATAACTTAGGTTTTTTTTCTTTTTAATACTTTAAGTTCTAAGGAACATGTGTACAACGTGCAGGTTTATTACATATGTATACATGTGCCATGTTGGTGTGCTGCACCCATTAATTCATCATTTACATTAGGTATATCTCCTAATGCTATCTCTCCTCCCCCTGCTCCCCACAATAGGACCTGGTGTGTAATGATCCCCTTCCTGAAGCTGCTGGAGGGTTTTTGTATAGGAAGTGATATAATTTGATTTACATTAGAGCAGAATCATTCTGGCTATTGTGCTGAGAAAAGAGAAGTCTAGGATGACTCCGAGGTTTTTAGGTCGAGCAAACTGAGTTGCTATCAACTAAAACATGAATCAGTGTTGGGGAGATGAGGAAGAGAAAGACAGGACCTTTAGCTTGGACATGTTAAGTCTGACACATTTCAGACATCATAGTGGAGATAGGAAACAGGCAGTTGAAAGTTATTCTGTCATGAAGAGGCAAGGTCTCGGCTAGATATATAAATTTTGAATTGTCAACATATACACAGTGTTAAAGCTATGAAATTCAATGGGACCAATAGGGGAGTGAGCGTAGACAGGAAAAAAAAAGAAGGAAAGGTCCAATGATATGATCCTAGGTTAAGGAGTAACGGAGACTGAGGAGTGATGAACAAGGAGAAAAATGAGAGAAATGTGGTTTTTCTCAAGCCAAGTCAAGAAAGTGGGTAAGGATGTGGGAGAGACCAGCTCTCCTACAAAGCTGTAGGTAGGATGAGGAAGATGAGGACCAGCCTACAGGCTCTGGGAATGTGTAAGTCACTGGTGACCTCTATGTGAACAGTTTCTGCAGTGTGAGGGGACAAAAGCCTTGAGTGGGTATAAGAAAAATGAGACAAGAGGAACTGGAGACAAGTATAGATAACGGAGGTAATTTTTTAGTTATAAAATGAAAGAAATAAAATGGGGCAGAGAAGGAAGAGACAGGTCAAGAGAGGATATTTAAGAGGAGGGAAATTTGGATGCTGGTAAAAAATATCCAGTAGAGAGAAAAAATTAATGGTGCAGAAAAGAGAAGTTGAACTACTAGAGTAATGCCTTGGGTAGAAAAGGGGGAGGGCACGGGTAGTTCCTCCAGGAAAGAAGGCAGGGTACATGGGCACAGATGCAGATAGGTGGGTGGACACAGAGCTGGAAGTCTATACACAGAGCTGGAAGTCTATACACAGAGCTGGAAGTCTATATATCTTTGGGTTATAAAGATATAACCCAAAGGTGAGGATGTGGGGATAGGTGTTGAGAGTCTGAGGAGAAAAGCAGAAGTCTGAAATACTCATTGTGGAAAGTAGGAGATGAGAGGAAATACAGTACGATTCCAGGTAGCATTAGGACCCATTTGAGGTTAGGGACCATGAATTTAAAGTGAGATCAGACAGTATAGTCAGGGTTTTCTCCAGCCATGTTCAGCGATACATGACAGGTAGAGAGTGGGCAGAAAGGTGGACTTAAGCAGATCTGTGATTCTGCCAAGCAAATATGAGGAAGCAAGAGAGGAGCACACGAGATGAAAGGCAAAGTTAAAAATGTAATCACAGAATTTAAAAGCTGGCTAAAGACCAATAAGTGAGAACACTAAGTAGATAATGGAGCAGCAAAAAGGCGGCAGAATTCAATCATTTTAAGGGATGGATAATGATTACTGAGAGTCAAAGGACTAGAGAGAGTTAGCTGAAAAGATAGGGATTGGTAGTCTGATAATTAAATGCTTGAAAATGAGATTCTAGAGGGGTGGCATATACTGGTAATGACAAGAGCTGAGGAATGGCAATGGGAATAAGTAGATGAGACAGAGAGATAATCAAACTATCTATGGAGGAAAGAAAGACAAGAAACTGTAAGGTCAGAGTATTATAAGCATCATCCCTCCAGATCCTGAGATCCTCAAAGTTATGGTAAGAGTAATGTTGGCGAGAACTGACAGTGAGCTGGGTGCTGAAATCAATGAGCCAAGGAAATAACCCAGAGATCAGAAGATGACTACTTTGGTTGTTATGTATATTGGCTGGCAGCATAGGCTGGTGACATGAAAATCAAAGATGAGGTTTTTGAGGTAGCAAGGAAAGAAAATAGGAAGTGACAATGTGAAGCAAGAAGGATACAGGGTTTGGGGGGAAAAGATATTGCTGAAAAGGGTGGAAGGGAAGCAGTATCTGCAGTCTTCTGATTCTAAGCTCTTCAAATGTAAAAAAATTTGAGATATAAAGGAATATTAAACACAGAAATTATAATTTTAAGTAACAATAATATACTGGCATTTGTGGGTGACAGGTCACTGAGAGTAAAAACTTATAAGTGATCACACAAAGATGTTGAACAATGTTTCTCAAATCAGAATAAGCTAGGGGAGCTGGATACAATGCAGATTGTAGGTCCTATGCCATCCTAGGTCCTATGCCATACTGCTGGATCAGCATTTCTGAGAGCCTAAAAGCACCCTGGGAATTCTTATGTCCACTGAAAAACTAATGGCAAGGACAGAAGAAGAGAGTGACAGCTTTGTGCTACTCCTTCATCTACTCTTGGTACTATTAGCTCACCACCTCCCCTTAAGTTCTCAATATATACAACAATCATGGAGTTATTCAGCCTTAATAAAAACAAAGTCAGCAGAGAAGGAAGTGAATGCCTTACTACATCTAAATGGGAATTGAGAATAATCTGATACAGAGATTATTTTGTACAAAAAGTGCTATGTACTTTCCACATTTACTAAGCCCCCACTTTATTAGGTGCTTGAGATACAATGATATATAAGACAAGAACAATGCCCACAGAGGACTGTCTGTAACTAGTGGTCAATGTTTCCCAATGGGAGAGATACTGGCATTTGAGGTACGATAATCCTTCCTGTGTGGAACAATCTTAGGCATATTTAGTATCCCTGGTACCTGTCCCCTAAATGCCAGTTTTATTATGCTCAGTCATTTTGACAACCAAAAAAAAAAAAGGCCTCCATACATTTGCAAATGCTCCCCAAGGGTAGTAGTGCCCTGTTGAGAATTATTGATGGCCAGTAATCCCGTTAACCACAGGGAACCAGATGATGATAGGATGTATGGTAGATCACCCTCTCACCTTTGAAATAGCTTCGTGGCAGTCCTAAAGATGGTAGAAAATTGGTTTCAGAAAATAGTGCCATTAGAAACAGCATTTTCCTACATGAAGGCTGACAATCACTATGAACAAATTATTACTATGAACATACCTCTATTTTTGCAGTTAACCTCTCAATTTCAGACCGATCTTCCCTGTGATTTTTGGTATTTCCTCTGAATTCCCTCATTTGCTTTTTCTGAAGCTTTTCGTAGCTTCTCTTCAGTATGCCTAACTGTAGAAACAGTTATTTCTATACTTAAAGTTTAAGAATTTGAAAAGAGTAGCGGTGAGAAAAATTTGTATTATGAAAACAAGAGCAGTGCTAACCAGTATTACTGAGAACATGTTAGATTTCCAAACTAAAACACAAAAGGAAACTAAAAATTAAATATGTAAAACAAACATTAGTACAGAAATACATTCAAAGAAAAAATTTTTTAAAAATTTTAAACAAAAGTTTTTGATTACAATAGCCTTGCACTTAAAGACCCTACCACCTAGCCCCACAATAAAAGCAGCAAATTAAAACTCTTTTTCTTTCTTCTAGGTCTGTGATTCTCAAAGCTATGCTCTTGCAGAGCACTAATATTTAGGATGCAGGAGAAGAATACTTTGCAATTAAATCAGAATAAAAGCAGTTTTTTCCAAATCTGAAGAATAAAATTGAGTTAATGGACAGAATTTTCTTACTTATTTATCCCAAAATGCTTCTTAAATTTTGGATCCTCTATTATTTATAATCTAGTAACTGATAAAAATTAAAATATTAAATATAATTTTTGGTATCAAGTATTTCACAGTATTACACAAAAACAGCCCTAACTTCTTTCAGGTACTCAACCAAGAAACATATTTTAGCATCTCTTCTAGGTAGCATCAAACCTACAATTAGGCAAACTTCTTTACCTGGATTAAAGAACAGAGAAATGGATTCCCACTCCTGTATCTTCCATGCACTATATATTTCCCACTTCACAAAGTAGAAAGTGGCTTTCGTTAACAAAGTTCTCAAGGGTGAAAGAGAGAGAACTACATATACGACATTTAACAAAACTAAAATCTCACTTCTTCATGTAGTTTCTTCAACTCCTGCTTATACTCCATGGTCATCTCTTGCTTGATTTTTTCATGTTCTTCTACCTGCTGATGCAACATTCCAACCTAAAAGCAGAAAAGTGGTAGTATTTTTCATTAGCATTGAAACAACATCCCTGAGGTATAAAAATATAAAATAATCTCTGTATTTATTTGTAAATTCAAGTTCTCAAATGCATATATATGGTTACCCCACTTCTTAGGAAGTCAAATACCTAGTTATTTAATAATTCTTAACATTGCCAAAAATAGTGAACAAACAACTAGTTTTTAGAATTTCTAGGTTTAGATGAAAACTCTCTTTCTTTTTTTTTTTGTTCTTTTTGAGATGGAGTCTCGCTCTGTCACCCAGGCTGGAGTGCGGTAGCACAATCTCGGCTCACTGCAACCTCTGCCTCCCAAGTTTAAACAATTCTCTGTCTCAGTCTCCCGAGTAGCTGGGATTACAGGTGCATGCCACCACACCTGGCACATTTTTGTATTTTTAGTAGAGACGGGGTTTCCTCATCTTGGCCAGGCTGGTCTTGAACTCCTGACCTCGTGATCCACCTGCCTTGGCCTCCCAAAGTGCTGGGATTACAAGTGTGAGCCAGCGCACCCAGCCGAAACTGTTTCTCTCTGTCTGATTATTCTACTCAACCCTTGTAATAAAAAAAAAATCTCATGAAAATAAGAAATATAAAGTTTTGAGAGTCCTGGAAAGCAACAATACTTCATAAAAAATCTAGAAGACTTTAAGAATAATTTCTCTACAATAAAGTACAGAATAGGAATGTCAGACAGGAAAAAAAAAGGAGGCTTGTGCCTGGTTTACCATTTGCCCAACTTCAGAGAAACAAGTTCCACCAACCATGGTAAGGAAGTTATCCTAACCCACTTTTCAATGATTTGATACCAGAGACATCTATTTTCTGCCAAGCCTTCATCTCCACAAGTATCCAGAAGTAATTCTTTTAATAACCAGCTAGAATTTCATCGACTGATAAGTAGGAAGGGAGAGGGAAAACAGGGAACAGGAGGGTTTTAAACAAACACCATCAAGAACAGTAAATTTCTTAAAAGTACTAGAAATAAACTACTTATAAGAATGAGGAGTTAATGCAATTCCAATAAAAAATTATAGTGGAATTTATTTTTGTAAGAGAACTTGAAAAAGTCATTCTAAAGTTCAAACTGGAAGAATGGGTAAATACAGCCAATAAAAGGAAAAGTCTAGTTTTAAAAAAAAAGATGTAAGTGAATGATGTAACTGAATTTCTGGATGAAAGGAAACTTTCTGAGCTTATAACTAATGAAAAAGTAATTTTAAAATGATACATTTAACCATGTAAAACTTCTATTTTAAAAAAATCCAATTAACAAAATTAAAAGGTAAATAAACAGAAAAATATTTACAAAAAATCAAAGGGCTTTTAACTTTTAGTATACAAAAAACTCTTACAAATTTGTAAAAAGTATTAAGCTCTCAACCGAAAAATAACTCAAGGACAAGAATGATTCCCACAAAAATATAAATGTCCAATAAACATGAAAAAAGACTTAATTTCACTAGTAATCAGAGGAAAACATCCAACGGCATTTTACATCTATCAAATTAGGAAAGATCTTATAAAATAAGACTTGTGTGGGTAAGTTATTTGGAATCAAAGACCCATAAAGTGTTGAAATACAAAGCACATGACTTCCAGAAAGCAATGTGGGAGTGTATATTAAAACATAAATATTCTTAACCTTGACTTAGTAAACACTACTTTTAGAAATTCATGTAAAAAAAATAAATGTAGAGCCAGGTAGAGCAGCTCCCATCTATAATTTCAGCACTTTGGGAGGCAGAGGCAGAAGGATGACTTGAGCCCAGGAGTTCAAGACCAGCCTGGGCAACATGGTGAGACCCTGTCTCTACAAAAAAGGAAAAGAAGAAAATAAATGTAAATGTTAAGAATTTGCTGGGACTGGGCATGTTGGCTCATGCCTGTAATCCCAGCACTTTGGGAGGCCAAGGCAGGCAGATCACTTGAGGTCAGGAGTTTGAGACCAGCCTGGCCAACACGGCAAAACCCCATCTCTACTAAAAATACAAAAATTCGCTAGACCTGGTGGCAGGTGCCTGTAATCCCAGCCACTCAGGAGGCTGTGGCACAAGAATCGCTCGAACCTGGAAGATGAAGGTTGCAGTGAGCCGGGACAGCATCGCTGCACTCCAACCTCAGCAACAGAGTGAGATTCAGTCTCAAAAAAAAAAAAAAAAACAGAAATTGTCAATAGGGATTTGTTCTTTTATAAAAACTGGACAAACTGGAAAAAATCTAAATGTTTATAAATAAATTGTGAACGAATATAATGAATGAAAGTACATAATAAAATATGCAAACATTAAGCTGTATTAAAACAGTTAACATGCAAAATGCTTACCACTTAAAAAACATATGGATATAAAAAGTATACTATACTAACATCCCAATTTTGGGAAGGATTTTTACTGAAGTTTACTTACATAGCTTCTTAAAGGAAATACACCAAATGTTAATACAGATTAACTCTGATTCAAGGTATTATGATTATTTTTTGCTTCATAGTTTGTCTTTTCTAAATTTTCTCCAATGGCTACTGTTTTTACTAGCAAGAAAAGAACATTTTAAAAAAGAAAAGACAAGAGGCTGACCCTAAGTCTACCTATTTTGCTTTGATAAAGATCATCAGGACTCATCTATTTGATTAAAACAAGTTGAAGAGTCTTAACTATTCATATTTCCTAGCCCACAATCCACCAGAAGATGCAAAATTAGAAAGTATGGTAGGTAGAAGGAGTAACTACAATGATCAGTAGAAATGAGCAATAGCTTTTAGCAAAGACAGAAGAAAAGAGGGAAACAGATTATCCCAAAAGTAGACTCGTGTCTACACTGCTATAACCCGTAAAGACAAAGCACATCAAGCACATCAGTATGTAATAGCCATTACTCCTAACATATCACAACCAAGAGAAAAGGCAACCCTCAAAACACCACACCCGCACCCACACACACACCCTTCCTTAAATTTTCAGTAGTGTGGCCTTTAGGCCCTCTATCACATGTTAGACAAGACACACCTGCAGAATCATAAAAACTTTAAATGATTTCATAAGATCCACTGACAGCATGGGAACTGACTAGGGAGTTCTCAAAGTTAGCCTAAATAGTTCTTTGACCAAGGTTTTTAAAAATTGAAGACAAAGAGGGAGGGAAAAAAAAAAAAAAAAAGCAGGGGGAGGACAAGATGGCTGACTAGACACAGCCAGGAGGAAAAGTTGCCAATGAGGGACTGAGACAACTGGTGTGCTCCTAACAGATCTTCAGGCGGTCACTGAGAGTGGATGGAGAGAAGACACAGAAGCTGAGATGAAGGGGGAGGAAGCTGGGAACCATACACGAGGCGACTACTACGCACCTGGACTCATTGCTGGCCCAAACAACTCTGGAAAAACAGATGAGCTGAACTAGCAAGAAGCAACCCCCTTTTCCCACAGGCCTCTGGAACCCTAGCAGGAGGGGACCCCTTGACCACCATGAACACTCAAGTTGACAGGGTGAGCCACTTAGAGAAATGATAGGAGCAGCAAGCCAGCTGATATGGAGCCCAGAGAGTTTGGTGCGGGAGTATCTGTGGTGGGGTGGTGGGGCATGGCCAGGGATCGCCATCCCCTTAGGCTTAACTGGCTCCCATAGGAGACTTTAGCTCTAAGGCAACTGTTGGACCCGAACTGTGCAGAGTGGTCTTGCCCATCATATGGGGCCAGTCTCACCTGAACACCCCTTGGCCTGCTGGCGGCCTCTCCCAGGGCCCCAGTGTGGCCACACATGCTTACAGGGCAGCCTTGGGTGGCCTGGGGGACTGCATCATAGCTTCTGTGCTAGCAGACTATGCCTGACCAGCAGAGAGCTCCAGAGGAGTGGCCCCCATGGCTATGCACCAACCTGTACATTCTGTCCCCATACTGCAGCTTCTCTGGACCCATAGCAACTCCCCACATGGCTTTGCTGGCGTGTGCCTATGCCAGCAGGTTTTGCTTTTCTTGCCCCACCAATAGGCAAGCGTACATGTATCCACCTTGCCACTGCTGTGGCGGGAGTGCAGTTCATCCCCCATGTCCCCACTGACCACCACTGCAGACAGAACCTTGGTGGGCACAAAACCAGCCAGTCTCGCCTCTGCCAGTGCCCCTTTCTTGCATCAACACTGCTGCAGGAGTGAAACTAGGCACAGAGAATAGCAGATCCTCCCCTGCACAGAGCAACCACTCCTGTTTGCAGTACACAGAGAAGGCACACAGACCTGCAACCGCCAGTGCCCTGCCCCCAAGCCAACACCACCACCAGCGCCACTGTGCAGTTGCCAGCAGGGGCCCCCGCTCACCTTCCAGCTGTGTTCCCTCCTCCACTGTGGTGAACACCTTCAGGGAGGCAAAGCACCCTGGCACCCACCAGAACCCTGCCATAGCTGACAAGTGTATCCCCCACTGCACTGCTGCTACCACTGCTGCCGGCACATGCAAACAAGGATGAATCCCACTGTCATTGCACTATGAAACACTTTGGCTGACACCACCCATTGGGGTGTAGTGACCAGCAGTCCAGGAGCACCCTGAACCTCCAATGCAGTGGATTCCTAACTTCAAGGAGCCAGAGAAAAAAGTTAGGGCCCAATACAAGCCCCTCAGAGTTACACCACATAGTCTAGGAGTTGGGAGCTGAGCAATGGTCCCCTAAAATCTTCCAGAGACAAAGCCAGTTGGCTGAATCCACCTTATACTACAATCAAATTCACAAGGTCATCAAATATGATAAAAGAAAAAAAAACTCATCCAAGGGTCAGCAACTTCAAAGATTGAAGGAACATAAGCCCACAAAGATGAGAAAGAAATAGTGCAAGAACTCCAAGAACTCAAAAAGCCAGAGTATCTTCCTTCCTCCAAACAACCATATCACTTCTACAGTAAGGGTTCAGAACTGGGCTAAGAGGGCTAAAATGACAGAAATATAATTCAGAGCATGAATAGGAGCAAAGATCATTGAGCTACAAGAGTA